ACTCCACTCCGCGGCTGGCGTGGAAGTCCGCGGGACGGCTGGACTAGTGTGTGTGTGTGTGTGTGCGTGTGTGTGTGGACGATGGACGCGCGGGCAGGGCCTGGCGGGGCCCTGGCAGGGCCGACGTCTTTGTCACCCGGGGCCATAAGCACCTCGGCCGACACCTGCGACGCGTCACTGGAAAAATAAAAAGTCCTTCGCGCGCGCGGAGAGAGGAAAAGGAGAGAAATGTGAGCCGAGTGGGCCGTTCTCTCTCTCTCTCCGCGGCCCTGCTGACCCGCTGGTGCCCGCTGGCCGCGGTTATCGACGGGCCAGGCCGCCTAATCTGACTTTGATCGATCATTTATTATTATAAATGTGTGAGGCTGTGCGTTGGGTTCACGTGGCCTGGTGCGCTCTCGCCGCTCTCGCCGCTCTCGCACGTGACGTCGCCGTGACGTGGGGGTCCGCGCGGCACGCTGGCGAGCGCCCCGCCCCGCCGGACGACTTGACGCGCCAAACGGGAGAAAAGGGTAAAAATAAAACGGAAATTTAATTCAGGCGGTTTGCATTCGCCAAGCCAGCCAGCAGCAGGGAATGGCGTCCACGCTGAAATGGCCACTTTCTGTCTGTTTCTCGGTGTGTTCGATACAAGGCGCGTCTCGACGCGGTGGCCTGGGATGCAAACACGCTGCGGGGAGAGAGAGAGAGAGAGAGAGAGAGAGAGAGAGAGAGAGAGAGAAGAGAGAGAGAGAGAGAGAGAGGAGGGAACTTGATGGTGGTGGCAGAGTCCGTGAGACAAAAGCTCCTGAATAAGCAAATAGCTCCGGGGACTCGAATAAATCAAGCTTGCTTCGTAAGGCGAGGTAAGGCGAGCTAAAGGCACACACACACACATGTGCACTCACACAGCAACAGCTGCACAGGCGCTCGGCACAGGCCACGGTTTCGTATTGGCCGATTGACCATTATTTCCGCGTTGCGTGCCATCACATCACAGCCCTGGTTGCATCGCATTGCATTGTGGGTGCCGTCCGTGTGTGTGTGTGTGTGTGTGCGTGTGTGTCCGCGCTTGCCTCCGATCCGTCCTCGCCGTCGGCCGCGGCGTGGCCCGCAACGGACGGCCGACTGATTTGAGGCGGGTGATTTATTTTGTGGCCGCGGGAGGGCGCTGCGTTCGCCGCACCGTGCCGCGCTCAGGTGTCGCCGTGTGCGTTCCACCGCGTCAGCTTGGAGGAGGCCCGGACGCCGACGTGCAGCTGCCGAGCCGTCTGACAGTGCTGCAAGTGTCTGTTTTCTGTTTTCCCTTTTCTCGGCGGTGATTGTCGTTTTCGGCCGTGATCCCCGCGACGACCCCGCAGCGCCGCAGTGTCGCCGTGTTCGAGGCCCCCGCACTGCAAGTCCGCGGACCGCGCCGCCGCCTCGGGTCACGGCAGGGCACGGCAGGGCACGCCAGGGCTGGTGTAGGTCAGGCAGCGAGCAACAGCCTCGCAGCGGTAGCGCGCTGGTACAGCGCACTGCTGTTGCAACTGGTGGTTTGCACGTGTGTTGACGTTGCACACGTAGCCCGTCGTCGAGCAGCGCGGTACCGCGAGGGTCACCGCCAAGGGTTTTTGCTTTCACTCACTCGGCCCGGCCGTTTTGGCGTTTTGGTCGTTTTTCGAAGTCGGCCGTCCGCGGTGGGGTCCGCGGTGGCGTTCTCACGGATGGCCACCAATGGCACTGCACCGCGGCGCTGCACTGGGCTGCGCGCTGCGCGGCCGGCGGGCTGGCTGCCAGTTAGCGTCAGCGTCCCAGAGCGAGCGACGTCGTGAGCGATCGCCCCGGCTTGGCTTGGCCGCGCTACCGACGACTACCCGCCAAAAAAGGAAGGCACGCCGCGAAAATGGTGGCGGCGCCGCGAAATACAGTGGGAGAGGTCGCCGACCCCGCCGTGCAGTGCAGCAGGCTCTCTCTCTCGCACGCATGGGCCGCTCCATAGGGGTGCGAGAGAGACCGAGCGACGAAAACGACTCAGTCGTCTGGCGGCGCTAGGCCCGCTAGGCGGCACCCTGGGGGAAATCCTCGCGGCGATGACGGCCACTTGCAGGCGGCCTCCCCTGCGGCACGGCCGGGCACGGCACGGCAAGGGAATCACGGTGTGAGTGAAGGGGACTCTGACTGGTGGAGGGCGCAGCACGGCGCAGCGCGCGGCAGGTCTCGCCTTCTCGAGAAAAGTGTCTCGCTCGAGTCCCCTTTGTCCACCTCGGCCACTCTTTCCTTCACGGTGGCCCTTTCCTGGGCGTCAATCAAGGTGAGAGGGAGGCGAGGGCGGCGCGGCCCGCGAGTGCGAGAGAGAGAGAGAGAGAGAGACGCCGCATGGAATCGCAGCCTGCGCAGTAAAGCAGCCACTCCGGGATGCACGAGCGAGATGCTGCCACCGAGATGCTGGTCGCAGTGTCACACGCATCTATCCGCGTGTCTTCCCGCCCCGCCCCGCCCCGGATACATGCTGTTATCAGTGGCCATTCAATTACTGGACCTTTTGGCCGCGACGCTCGCTGCGCCCCGCCGGAGGGCGGCATGCCGAGGGTCGATGACTGCACCGCGGGGCTGCGGCCCGGCCGCTGGCTGGGGCCGCTGGCTGGGGCCGCGGGGCGGATGGGGGCGTGGCGCGGCGCGGCGGACGCCCTGCCAGTGTGCCTTGCCACGGCACCGCCACGGCACCGCCACCCCTCTCCCACTCACTGTGTGATTTCGGACGGAGCGTCGCGACGCCGCGACTGGCGCCATCTAGCGGCCGCGCCGCCAAGCTGCCTGCGCCCCACCAGGCCGCCACCGCGCGCGGCCTCTCTCTCTCTCTCTCTCTCCCCCTCCCTCTCTCTCTTTCCCCTATCGCTCTCCAATTGTGCCCAGCGTCTCTTTCTCACACGCAATTTTATTGATAGCAAGTGCCCTCGCTATCGCGCTACATCGCGCCGCCCCCTCGCATCATCTCCGCGTCTTGGTTCTCTCTCCGTGGATTCCTCCGCTCTGCGCGCGCTACGGCGCACTGCGCGTCGACGCCACGCCACGCCGACCCGTCCGAGGACCGATTCAGCGCGTTCTTTTTCTTGGACGGGTTTTGCGATTATGACTCGGTTTCGCAGTGCCGACGACGCCGTGGTCGCTGAAACAGCGCGCTCTCGCCGCGGCGGCGGAACTCGGAACTGTGAAGAAGCGGCGGAAAGGGAAGAAAACTTGGCAAACACGCGGCGTGGCGGGGCGTGGCGTGTCGGGGCGGGCCGGCCACCCCCGCCTCGCCCTTCCCAGGCCCTCTCCCCTCGCACGCGCCCTCCCTCCACCCCTCTTATCTGCACCTCTCAGCGCGCCGCGGCGGTCGCAACTTGACACAGTGAACGATGGTCCTCGGTTTGTGTGCGATTTTATCTCCGCCCTTTCCATTTTTCTCGTCCCTTATTTACTGGGGCGACTCGGAGGACTGGGGCTATACAGCGGACGTGCCCCGCCTGCGTATTGATGCCGGGATGCGGAGCCTGCGGAGGGTGTAGTGGACGGGCCGAGCCGGGCCAGCCTCCTGACCTCATCATGTTGCCGCACAAAGCGGCGTCGCGCCGTTGTTTTAAGTACATGTGTTCGAGAGAGAGAGAGAGAGAGAGAGAGAGAGAGAGAGAGAGAGAGAGAGAGAGAGAGAGACGCGCGTGCACGTTGCAGTTGCGGAACGCCCCCGCGCTGCGATACGCGATCGTTTTGTCGAGTTTCGCGAGCCTTGTTCGCGGCCCCCTCGGCGTGCCTCTTCGGCGTGCCTTGGGCGGCGCGAACTCGCGAACGAACACCTCGATGACCCCCTTCCCTTCATATTTCATGCGGCGAGCCGAGCCGCGGCGCTGCGCGTCTCGGCCGTGCGCGCGCTTTGATTGGAAACCAACGGATCCTTTTAATTGGTTCCGAGGCTGGAAGCTGCTGCAGCAGGCGGGGCGGCGGCGGCCCGCGCGCTGGAGCTGGACAAGCTGGCCTGCTCGGCGGCCTTGGCGTCGTCCGTCCGCTTCCGTCGCTCCTCGGGTCCCAAGGGGCCAAGGGGTCACGCGTTTGGTCACGGACTTGCCCCGGGCGTGCGTCCCGAGCGTCCCGCTCCATGACAAGCTGGTCGTCAAGCTTGGGCCGGGGCGGGGCACCGGGGGGCTGAGTGATCGGGGACCTCGGGGTCCGTCTGTCGCGCTGCCTGGCGCTGCCGTCCGTGTTTACATCGGCAGTGCCGCGGCCGGTGCAGCGGCCAGCCAAGGTTCCCAGGCTGGGATGAGTCAGAGCTTATTAATACCGAAGGGGAAAAGGGGGGGGGGGGCAGCCTACCGGGTGAAGGCTATCGATACTGTTTAATTCGGTTCACATCGTCGTCTGATTAAAAACGCTGGAAAAAAAAGGAAGGAAGGAAGGAGGCGTAGAAACTCGTGAAGTGGCTTGTACTGCGCTGTTAATAAGCACGCCTGTGCTAATTAGAAAAGTAATGGCGCAGCGGCAAAATCGGGCTAAGTGACTCGGGGCGCGCGCGAAGCCAAGCAGCGCCAAGCAGCCAATCTGGCGGACGCTCAGACTCGGGTTCGAACACCAGCCTCTCAAGGGCCCTTTTCTGCTAGAGTGCGCATCGGCAGGTGAGTCACCTGGTTGGGCCAGGGAGCTTCTGCTGCTGCTGCGCCGGGGATTGTGTGCTACAGTTCGACGGGGCGTGGCTGGACGGGCGCGGGCGGGCAGCCAGTGTCGTATACAAGGCGGTGGCTGTGATTACACTTTTAAACACGGACTAGTCTGGCGCACCCACCCACCGGGCGGCGGTCCGGCGGCGCGACCTAACGCGTTCGGCTGACACCTCCAATCAGACTCCGATTAGAAGACAGGAAGTGATTAGGGCTGCAGCAGCCGGCCGGGCCGGCCGGGACACTCCCCGGGATGAGTAACGCCCATACGGCGAGCGCGCTCTTGTTGTTGTTGTTGATGGTTGTGTGCCTACGGTGCCCAGGTGTGATATCTGTGTGTTTTCCGTGCTGTCCCAACAGTCACTGCAGTCGGCGGCGCGCCGGGCGGGCACGTCGTGCGCCAACTGCAAGACCACCACGACGACGCTGTGGCGCCGGAACCAGAACGGCGAGCCCGTGTGCAACGCCTGCGGCCTCTACTACAAGCTGCATAATGTGAGTATCTCGTCATCTGCTGCCTACTTTTTAGTTCTCGTTGGGGCGGAATAAAAAGCGGGGACGTTGGTGGCGCGCCAAATGGCGGCCGGTCGTCAGCAAAACGGGGGGAGGGAGAGAAGCATGCGAGTTTTCGTTTTTTCGCGCATGAGGGGAACACAGAGGTCGGGTAAAATAAGCTCGGCTCTGTTTCCAATGGTCGTTGTCGCGCCGAGAATGCGGAAACTTATTGAAAATGGGACGGGATGGTCGCCGAACCGAACCGGGCGGCCAGACTGCAGCAGTCTGGGGTCAGCGCCCTCCGTGCCTTGTCGCCCAGTGGACACTGTCCGCCGCGCCACCGGTCTCCGCCTTGGCCAGCACAGCGAGCACAGCCGGGTGCGGCCGGGGGATTTGCAGCGTCGGGGCCCTGCAGGCCTGGAGGGAGGGTTGGCGATGATGTGGAAGTAGTGAGTCCTCCCTCGCTGCCGGACTTGAGCCCCCCGGTGGCGGAGCGCGCCGAGCCGAGCGCACCGAGCCGAGCGCACCGAGCGCAGCCGGGCCGAGCCGCGGGGCGGTGGGGTGCCGAGCCGAGCCGGGCCGGGCGCGTCTTCCGGAATACATAGCCTTTCGGCCCCGCACTGGCCCGCACTGTCCTGCAGCCTGAGGCTCATCCAGAAGTGATTGCTCACACTTGATTGGAGCCGCTCCCCTCGTGGACTTCGTGGACCTCCTCGGACCTCGTGGCGCCAAAACAAATGCGGCACGGTCGAGCGGCTCGGCGGCCGGCTCCTTGGCGTCCTGGCCTGCCTGCCGGACGGGCCCTCGGACGGGCCGGACGCCGGGGGTGGAGTGGAGCAGAGCGGAGTGAGATCCTCTCTTTCCCCGGTTTGTCCTCATTGCACGCATGTCTCCTGAATCCATTAGTGTGTGTTCAAGCGCGCCCCGGTTCCTCCCTTTTTTGCGACATTTCCGGGCTCTAAGCCGTAATCGCCGTGCTCCCGGACCCCGCCCGGCGGTTATTCGAAATCGGCGCCGTTTTCGCGCGCTTTCCTTGCATGGCCGAGCACGGCGGCACGGCGCTACTGTTTTACGAGACCTGGAAATTTGCTTTCTCCTTTCGGAGGGACAGAAGATTGGGCTTCTGCCGATGGCTATCTTTACGAGCCGCCCTCCAGCTGGCCCTGCTCGGCCCTTCGGATCACGAGAAAGCCCTTCGGCGTGAATAACCGTCCTTCATAGAGCCGCCCGGCCCGAGCACGTTCCTCCTGGCCGACCCCGCGGACCCCGTGATCCAGGCCAAAAAAACGGGCCGCCCGTGCGAGGCAGCGCCAAAGGGCTGTGCCCGTGGACCCCGCCATGGCCAATGCCCGCGCGAGTAGGAACCCCTTCGGTGCACCTGTTACGATGCACGGCTTGCCACGTCTCGGCGGTCGCAATGCGACTCCGTTTTGTCAGTGTGCCGCGTGGCGCGGTAAAAGACGGCGCCGCCGAGCACCGCTCGGGCTTTGGTGGATTTGGAAGTGCTCGTCTCCGCCACCGCAGCCGCTCAGTGCAGGGCCGCGTGGCGTCTGGTTCTCATTCTCGGCCGCGTCTTTGTCTTTGTGTCATGTTTGTTCATTACGTCCCGTTACCGTGAGCCTACGTGAGGCGTGCGTGTGACTGTGTGTGTGCGCTGGCGCGTGTGGGGCCTACCTGCCGCCCTACGTGCTGGGGAGGTGAAAGGACGTGCCCAGGACGGCCTGGCCACAGGCCTCGGCCGGCCGACGCCGACGGACACCGGGCCGCATTTTTTCGCCGCCTGCCGCCGCCAGTGACTAAGACGGCCCTGCCGGCGGCGCCACGTCGCCGTCGTCCTCTCGCCGGCTGCCTGCTCGGTCTGGCTGGCCGGCCGGGCCTGCATCCCCCAAATCCCATAATGCCTACAGTGCGGAGAAGAAAGCCCCGAGAGGTTCCGCCTGGCCGGAGAGCACCAGGACCAGGGCGCCATGGGAACGCGGCACAACGCGGCCCGGGCTCGACAAACAGCCAAACTCCCTAATCTTGATGGACCCCATTGAGCATGCAATGCAGGCCGTGCAGGCCGTGCAAGGGCCACAGTATAGCAAAACGCTTTTGTCGCAACGAGCGCACCGCGGCAAGGGAAGGAACCAGGAGGACCGGCAGAGGGGGGTTGACAGGGATGCCCGCGTCACAAAGGCCGGCGACAAGCAGGCCAAGCAGGGGGCGCGGCCTTTTAAACGCGAGCACAAAAGTAGTATCGATTACCGGGCCAATGATACAGTTTATTTTGATTCGACGACGATCGAATGGCGGGGAGCCCAGCCGAGCGGAGGACTTCCGTCCCGCCGCAAAGCGCGTCGAGCGCAGCGGCCCGCGAGGACAGGACGACCTGGCCGTCGTGCTGTCCTTCTCGCACTCAGGGCGGAAGCGGGCGCGGCGGATTTGCAAGCTTAGACCAACGGTCGAGGACCGCGTCAGTCAGTGTGTGCGTGTCTGTGTGTCGCCGGCTGGCGCGTATCACGGCAGCCCGTCAGTGGCGGGTATCACACGCGTCCGGGACGCCCCCGCCCGGCCAGAGCAGAGCGGGGCAGAGCGGCTACCCGATACGCCTGTCAGCGGGCCGCCCGGCGAACACAGCTGGCTGGAGCGGCGGCAGCCCCCACGGCCCCCGTGGCCCCCACAGCCCCTGCCGGATGGCGGCGGCGTGCCAATGAGCACCGCGATTTAGCAGGCGGAGGCCGCGTGCCGCCGCAGCATGCCGCAGCATCGCACCGCGACTTTCTCTGTGCGGCGAGGCGCGGCACGGGCGAGGCGCGGCGCAGGCCGCCCGATCGACTCTCTGCTCCCCATTCAGGTGCCATTATGGAACGTATGTCCTCTGGCGGGGTGCCAAGGGGACTGACTCGGTCGTAACGATGCCCACACAGTGTGGCGCACACCAGAGGAGACCAGAGGGAGGCTGGCTGCTGCGCTGCTACCGGTGTTGGCCGTAACGCCGTACGCACTGCATATACTACAGCGCAGCGTGCGAAGCGCTTCGCGCTGCCTTGCAGGTTTGAATCTTTTTCCGAACGGTTGGCTCTTCTGGGAAATGACCGCGGCCCCACCCCGCCCGGCCGGGTCATGAATTTGCCTCGCCACCCTTTATAGTGCGCTGGCGAGGACAGGACACACACACACACTCGAGACACCCCACGGCTCGCTAAAGTAACTTACTCAAACTCTGACGCGACGCTCGATTGTCGGGTCCGGGCCCCCTGGGTGCAGTCTGGGTGCCCTCGGGAGCCCCCCGAGTGCGGTGGGTGCACTGTGGAGTCCCTGTGGGTGCGTCCTGAGAAGTGTTTTTATACCCCAGCCATTGTGCAGCATGCGGCCCTCCGCCCCACCTCGCGCACCTTGGTGCCTTGGCTGCAGCCCAGGTGACACTGTGACACTCTACCCGAACTCGAGGACCCCGTCGTCCCCGCGGGGCCCCGTCCCCTCCGCCTCTATCTATTTCGTTGCGTTATTTTTTGGAGCTGCGGGTCTTTTATCACGTTCCAAGTTGGCGTGGGGCCTCTACGGTTGGCATTGTTGCGCGTTTATTATAACATAAATCTTTTGGTCGCTTAAAAGAGAGCGAGCTTGGGGAAGGGTCGAGTGGGGTGTGCGGACTTCTTGTTGTGATGTGTGTCGCCAGGAGCCCGATGAGGTACTCTCGAAGAAGGCCCTCTTCTGCCCCCCAACCCCCCCCCCCCCTCTCTCTCCGGGCCATCCATCAGGCTCCTGCATTCGCTAATGACCTAATTAATTCCGAGTCGTCTCGCCTCGGCCGGGGCTTGGCCGGGGCTTGGCCGGGGCGTCATCTGGGCTGCATCCGACGGGGAAGGATCGCGGTTTGGTAGCCGTCGCGCCGTCGTCGCGCCGTCGTCGCCCCCTCGAGGTCCCCGTAGTCTGCCCCCGCGGCCGTGGGGCCGTGGGCTTGGTGCGGCCGTGGGGGCCGCCTTGGGGCCGCCCAGCGCGCCCAGGCTGCGGGGACCCGCGCGGCAGGAAGGCGCCGGGGCAGTGGCGGGCCCATTTACCCCGAACAGTGGCGGCGCTGTGTGCGGCAGGACGCGCCGGGACGCGGCCAGCAGCCACACTCACTCCGTCCCTCTCGCACTCATGGGGCGTTCCTTGTGGGCGCGAGAGAGACAGACGGACGAAAACGACTCAGTCTGCTGCGTGCTGGGCGTGCGTCTCGGAGCGTGGCGCAAAGCTCGGTTAGACTCTGGCGGAGCGTGAGCCCAGTCGTCGTCGTCGCCGTCGTCAGCGCGCGCGGGGGACTCGCCGAGCTCCCCGACGACGCGAGAAGCGGCCGTCATGTCATCGCCCCGTTCGCGCGGTTCGCCTGATCCGATTTGGCGGTGACTGATGTGAAGCCCACCTGAGCCGGACCCGGCCGGCCCGGCCTCCAGCCGCGCGCGTGCGGTTTTCAGTGGAATCCACTGGAGCGCGGCAAAATAATAAGAGGCACTGGGAAAGCAGCTGGCGACGTGACGGATGCGCGGATGCCCACTGTATTCCCATGCCGTGCGGCCGTGCCGCCGTGCGCCACTCCGCTGCATCCCGCGAGCACGCCACCAGCACGCCACCGCGAGCGGACACGCGGACAGCGCGCACACGTGTTTTCAGCGTGGACAAGCCCGTCAAGGCCTTGCTGGCTCTGCGGTTTGCGCCCGCGTCCGGCTTGGCTTGCTCTTCCCCGGAAAGAGGCGAAAACACAGTCCGCCGATGGCTGCCTGTGGCTGCCTGTGGCTGCCGCCGAGAGCCTCGCAAGCCGTTCATCTGTGAATTTTGAGCGGCGAGTCCGCGACGCATAGCCAGCATAGCCACCCTCGGGTAGGAGCAGCGAAGGGGGCAGCCAGGGGGCTGCAGGGCTGCAGGCTGAGCTGGCTTGGCCGCGCCCGGGTTCACAGTCCGCTGAGTCGTTTTGGACCGGTTCCACGCCGTTCCACGCCGTTCCACGGTGCTTGCGAGGCGCGCGGCCCGGGGCGGCC